TGAACAGTAGCATCAGCAGAAACTGCCAGATGAAGTGGTTCTAAAAATCTTCTCTTACTTGCTGGAACAGGATCTTTGTAGAGCAGCTTGTGTGTGTAAACGCTTCAGTGAGCTTGCTAATGATCCAATTTTGTGGTAAGTGAAAATTTATTTCTTATTATCTTGAGATATATTATTTGGTGCCCAAAATGCTTGAAATGCTAGGGAGGTTGAAGTGTTGATTATAATTAAATAAGAATAAAATTAGATTGCTTGTAAATTCTAAGTTACCTATTTATCACAAATGTGAGTTGTCACTTTAGGTAATATTTATAAAACAATAAATGAAGTACTTTCTCTGCTATTTATCAGTTAATAGCAACTGAGTATATAAAATGTTTTTCATTTAATTGCTTTTAAGAAACAGAACTAAGCCCTGTTGGTGTGGCTCAATGGTTGAGCATCAACCTATAAACCAGGAGGTCATGATTCAATTCCCCTGTCTGGGCTTATGCCCGGGATGTAAGCTCGATCCCCAATATAAGGCATGCAGGAGGCAGCTGATCAATGATTCTCTCTCATCATTGATATTTTCTGTCTCTCCCTCTCCCTTCTTCTCTGAAATCAATATAAATATATATTTTTAAAAAAATACAGAACTAAGACCCTGGCCGGTTTGGCTCAGTGGATAGAGCGTCAGCCTGTGGACTGAAGGGTCCCAGGTTTCATTCTGGTCACAGGCATGCGCCCAGGTTGCCGGCTTGATTGCCAGTAAGGGGCGTGCAGGAGGCAGCCAATCGGTGATTCTCTCTTATCGTTGATGTTTCTCTCTCTCCCTCTTCCTTCCTCTCTGAAATCAATAAAAACATTTTTAAAAACAAAACACTGAACTAAGTCTAATTTAAAACAGCTAATTAAATTTGATAGTTTAGTGAATTTTATATATCACTTTTGGAAAATACTTCGATAGTTATATTCATGACCTTTAACTATGCATGCCCTTTGACCCAGTAATTCCACTTCTGAAAATGTTTTTACCTTATGTACAAATTTTTCATAATGTCATAGTTAATAGTGGGGGGAATTAGAAATTAGATCTAGCAATAAGGAAATGGGCTAAGTGAACACAATATAATGTCTGGTTGGAGGGATATAGTCATGAACAGTGATTTTTTATAGTTTTTAATAGCATGAGAAAATGCTATGTTGTAAAAAGTGGAAAGTTCCCTGGCTGGGTAGTTCAGTTGATTAGAGTGTTGTTCTGATATTTCAAGATTGCAGGTTCGATCCCCAGTCAGGTCACATACATGAAACAAACAATGAATGCATTAATGGGTGGAACAGCAAATCAGTGTTTCTTTTTCTCTCTCCCTCCCTCCCCCTCATTCTCCTCTTTCTCTCTCCTCTCTTTCTCTAAAACCAATAAATAAAAAGTGAAAAGAGCAGGATACAAATTTTTGTTTTTGTATGCTATATAAATCACAACTGTAACAAATGAAACTAACTGTAGATAAAAATAACTGAAAGGGGGGAAAAATGACTGAAAGGAAATACAGTAAGCTGTTAATAATAATGTATTGGAAGTGTACGTTATCTCCTTCTTTGTACTTTTCTATATTTTACAATAGCTTGTATGGTGCTAAAGGTAAACTATTTTAGTCCTCAAATAATTTTTTGTAGTTATTTAAAAGGCTACTTATGAATAACTCTTTTAATTCCTTTCCCACCTTCAGGAAACGATTATATATGGAAGTATTTGAATATACCCGTCCTATGATGCATCCTGAACCTGGCAAATTCTACCAGATTAATCCTGAAGAGTATGAACATCCAAATCCTTGGAAAGAGAGTTTCCAGCAGTTGGTATGAAGTATAAATAGAAAATATTGCCTTATGTATTTAATATATATGGAGATAAAATTTCCTTTCTAAAAAATTTAAACTCATGCAGGGAGATATTTATATTGTCATACAAACTTATCTTGTGAACCTTATGAAAAAGGGGAATGTTCCAGGTATTCCATGACTTACTGAGAGAGACATTTTGCTACAGTCATGATGATGGGTGTAATGACTGATGAAGTAATAGATACTACAAAGGAATATTTATCACTGAACAAACACAGACATTTAACCTGACATCAAATAAAATAATTAAGAGTTTTTTGTTTTTCTTACTGGTTTCAGAGAGGGAGAAGAGAGAGAGAGAGAGAAATATCAATGATAAAAGAGAACCATTGAATGGCTGCCTCCTGCACACCCCGCACTGGGAATAAAGCCCACAACCCAGGCATGTGTCCTGATTGGGAATCAAACCATGACCTCCTGGTTCATAGGTAGACGCTCAACCACTGAGCCACGCCAGTCGAGCTAATTAAATATGTTGGTGTGTTTTTTTAATTTCAAGAATAGGTTTCAAGCCAGTGCACATTTATCAACCAACAAAATACTCAACAATTTCACTACTGACATAATAGTCTAAACATTGACAGTAAACATCAGGAGCCTAGAAGCAGTTAATACTTTCTTATGGGTCTGTTTGAACTCTTGTTTAAATTATTGGTGTTCAATAGTTGTTTTAAAGTTTCACTTTTAGCGTAATTTTTATGTAGTCCTTTACAACTGGCTCTCAACTAGGATGATTTTGCTCCACAGGGGACATTTGACAACTTCTGGAGACATTTTTAATTATCACAACTGGAGAAGAGGATGCTACTGGTAGCTAGTGGGTAGAGACCAAAAATGCTACTAAGCATTCTATAATGCACAGGACAGCCCCCACAACAAAGGAACTGTCTGTTCCAAAGTATTAGTAGTGCTGAAATTGAGAATCCTTGTCCTTTCTTACTAGATAGTACTAAATAATGTAAAATCTGGAACACCTTTTACATCGCACTGTGCAACAGAAAATTAGTTGAAATAATTGATTTTTTTATATATTTAATTTAAAATATTCATACAGTACTAAATTAGTTTAAAATGTAATGTCCTTTTTTTTTTTGACATTAAGTATAAAGGTGCACATGTAAAGCCAGGATTTGCTGAACATTTCTACAGTAACCCTGCAAGATATAAAGGAAGAGAAAATATGTTGGTATGTTTGATCTGCATTTTTATGGGATTTAAAATAGTAATTTTTCAGTTCTATATTGACACTTTTGTTTTTTTCTAGTATTATGATACAATTGAAGATGCCCTTGGTGGGGTACAAGAAGCTCATTTTGATGGACTTATCTTTGTTCATTCTGGAATATATACTGATGAATGGATATATATTGAATCTCCAATCACCATGATTGGTGCAGGTATTTTAAAATGCATTTTTATTAGAATTTTACCAATTTTACTTACATAATGGGTTTATAAAATGCTAGTGACTTAAAATTTAGGTAACTTTGACAGTAGCTTAATGATAGGAAAGAATAATTAAATATGCATATTTTATGTGATAGAAATGAAAACATGAGAATTCAGAAATTATGGATGTGTCTTATTTCCTTTTTAAGATGTATATATTTCTCACCCAGCTGGCATGGCTCAGTGGTTGAGCATGGACCTATGAACCCCAGGAGGTCACGATTTGATTCCCAGTCAGGGCATATGCCTAGGCTGCAGACTTGATCCCCAATGTGGGGCGTGTAGGAGGCAGCCAATCAGTAATTCTCTCTCATCATTGATGTTTCAAATCTCTCTCTCTCTCTCCCTCTCCCTCCCTCTCTGAAATCAATAAAAAAAATTTTTTTAAATGTGTATGTTTCTTGGTCACTACTTTGTCCGACTGCCTTAGTTAATCATTAAGGAAAGAAAAAAATGTATGTTAGCTTTATCTTAAATATTTTTGGGCTATATAAAAACTGCTTTTATGCTCAAGTTTCTAAGAATAAATGTAATAAAATATTTATTGAGCACTGATCAGTCATTTGAAGATTTATGCTTTTTTTTTTTTTAAGGGAGGAAGGAATAGGATGGGAGAGGGGAGGGGGAGGAAGGAGGGAGGGAGAGAGAGAGAGGGAGGGAGGGAGAGAAACATCAATGATGAGAGAGAACCATTGATTGGCTGCCTCCTGCATACCCCACACTGGGAATCAAGCCCACAACCTGGGCATGTGACCTGACCAGGAACCAAACCATGACTTCCTGGTTCATAGGTCCGTGTTCAACCACTGAGCCACACCAGCTGGGCATTCTCTGATTTCTTAAGGATATAGTACATAGACCATTTTAAGATAGCTAATAATTATTACTTGTTAATAAAGTTTGCATTTTCTACCCTTTCTGCTTTCCTCCCCCATTTCTACCATGAAGAAAAGTGAGGAGGGAGGGTGTAGAAAATTTCTGCCTATAGATTTTTATTACTTTCCAAATTAAGGCCAGTTTGGGAAATAAATGTCAATAAAGAGGTCTCTTTTGGATATTAAATACTATTTGCAGTTGAACCTTCTTGGAAGTATTATATATGGATTTCAGTATGATACTCAAATAATATCTACATTAAATATGACTGCCTGTGGTAAAGGCCAGTGAAATATAGTTATCAATTAAATGAGTATTAGTACTCTCTTCTCAGTATTTAAAAGTAATAACTTTTAAAAGTTTTTCCTCCAAAAATTACCCAACTTAAAACAATAAAAATGTTCTATATTACTAGTTTTGTAGCAAAGTATTACTGTATTTTTAAAGTGTATTTTTTTAAGTTATTTTTAAATTTCTATTCATCTGTCTGATAAAGGTAATATGCTTTAAATATCTTCTCCACAGCACCTGGAAAAGTAGCAGACAAAGTTATAATTGAAAACACTAGAGATTCAACCTTTGTTTTTATGGAAGGTTCTGAGGATGCTTATGTTGGATATATGACAATAAGGGTAAGAAATTTTAAGATTTAAAATAATATGTTGAAATCATTAAAGCAGTGGTTGTTTATTTAACAAAATTTCTACTTTGCAGTTTAACCCTGATGACAAATCTGCTCAACACCACAATGCACACCACTGCTTAGAGATTACAGTAAATTGTAGTCCTATTATTGATCACTGTATCATCAGAAGTACATGTACAGGTTAGTGTTTCTTTATATTTTGTTATAAAATGAGTCTCTGGCCCAATAGGTTTTTAAATAAAGTATTTTTCTTACAGTTGGCTCTGCAGTATGTGTTAGTGGTCAAGGAGCATGTCCTACTATCAAGCACTGTAATATCAGCGACTGTGAAAATGTTGGACTTTATATAACAGATCATGCACAGGTATTTTTTTAGCTTTGTGGTTTTATTCTTTTAAAATACTTTTTCAAGTTTTACTAATGTTTATTTCTGATTATTTGTTGTAGGGAATATATGAAGATAATGAAATTTCCAATAATGCTTTGGCTGGGATTTGGGTTAAAAATCATGGAAACCCAATTATTAGACGGAATCACATTCATCATGGACGTGATGTTGGTGTGTTCACATTTGATCATGGCATGGTAAGAACGTTTTTAATAGAAATGCTGACCACATATTAGTTAGATTTCAAATAGGTTTCAAGATTTTATAACCACCAAATTATTTGTTTCTATCATATGGTATAGGTTTAAAAGCAATTTCAACATTATATTTTAAAATCAATATACAATATTCTATAAATTTATGGTTCTCACACTATAATCATATAGAAAAGATGGATTCCTTAGGGAATTGATGTGACATTTGAGAGGATTCATGTCTAATCCAGTAGTTCTGAAATGTAAGAGTGTAGAAAAATCATCCATATATTATAAATCAGAATTTTCAAGGATCAGACCCAGTATATGCATTTTTAATAAGCATCATAAGTGAGTTTAATACAGATTGTTTATCAACTATACTTTGAAAAGTAATGGTTACATTATTAATTTGACTTCCATTTTACTCCTCTTAAAAAAATTTTAACTGGCAGAATGTTAGTAAGAGACACAGTGATAATAAAATATTAGCTATAATATTGTTATGCAGCAGTTAATTAGGCGGCTCTATGGATAATATGTTTTAAATACTACTATGTCATTTTACTCAATTTTCTAGGGACAGCCTTTTTGAGCTCTCTTAGGCTACAATTTCAAAATAATGTTCTTGGATGTCTGTTGGATATTGTTTTCATTTACTGTCTAATTTTCATTGAGGTAATTTTCAAGTCCTACTTACAGCATTGGCAACATTTTTTATGAAATGGGAGAGGAGTGGGTGGTGACATGATGATACATAGGATTATGGTGAAGTTTTATTTCTGTTATATAGTACTAGAGGCCTGGTGCACAATATTTGTGCACGGGGAGAGGGAGGAGGGGGTTCCTTAGCCCAGCCTGCACCCTCGTGCAATCTGGGACCACTGGCTCCTAACTGCTCATCTGCCTGCCTGCCTGATCACCCCTAACTGCCCTCCACTGCTGGCCTGGTCGCCCCTAACCTCCTCTGCCTTGACCTCTGCCACTGTGGCTTTGTCTGGAAGGACGTCCAGATGGATGTCCAGAAGACGTCTGGTCTAATTAGCATATTACCCTTTTATTAGTATAGATGAGTCAAGCAATTTGGGAACATTGGATGCACTTACACAAATTATCAGTTAATGAAGGAAATTTTTTATTTTCATCATTTGTACCTAAAACTCTAATGCAGAACTCTTTTTAAAACTGAACTAGACTATAAGAAGTTACCCTTTTGCCAAAACCGGTTTGGCTCAGTGGATAGAGCGTCGGCCTGTGGACTGAAAGGTCCCAGGTTCGATTCCGGTCAAGGGCATGTACCTGGGTTGCGGGCACATCCCAATGGGAGATGTGCAGGAGGCAGCTTGTCGATGTTTCTCTCTCATCGATGTTTCTAACTATCTCTCTCCCTTCCTCTCTCTGAAAAATCAATAAAATATATTTAAAAAAAAAAAAAGAAGTTACCCTTTTATCAAGTTCTGATTTGAACTACTGGTAAATGGTTTCAGACCATTCAGTTCGTCATCATTTATGGGGTAACTGTAACCTGGGAGAAACAATTCTCTTACAACTTGGGTTGTAGCATGGACCTGTTGATAAAAAAAGCAGAGTGGAAATTACCATTTGCCCTTTCCAGCTAAAATAAAGAAACTGACATTTTGTTGCAAATTGTACTGTTTTCTCCAAGGATGTGGGAATTAGGGGATTTGAGCAAAGGTCTAGAGGATGTCAAAACATAAGAATCTTGAGACTCTGCCCTCCCTTAGAGGCCTGCATTGTTTATAGTTCCTAAATGGTCTCTTATTTTGTAATGGAACTATACTATGCTAGTATTTATTTGCCTTTGTTGCCTTTAGACTGCCCCAGAGTTACATACTATTCAAGTACCATATTTATGCATGCCCCTGGTCTCATTTACAAATAATTTGAGGTACCAAGATAATTTTAACCTGGATAACTTTCCTCATTTTTAAAAGACCTATGATTATGTTTACTTACTAAAGTTCATCGTCATCATTTATTCATCATCACACACCCCATACAGTTTATTTTTTATAAATTTGGGTTTGAAATTTTTATAAGTGTTTTTAAACAACTCTAGGCAGTGCTACAGATAGATATTCCCATTAAGGATTAATGAAGAGATTTGTTAAGATAATACAGATTTGTAAGGGAAGGGTCAAAATAAAGTATATGTTGGGTCTGTTGTGTGTTTTAGTATTGCGATACAATCCTTTAAAATCCTTTGATAGAATGTTCTCCTATTCCAAGGATATGGCAGGTCCTCGCATAATGTTGTTTTGTTGTAATGTTGATGAGGGGGCAAGGGAGATTCCAGGCTGGGGCCATTGTCTGTGTGGAGTTTGCATGCTCTCCCCATATTTGTATGGGTTTTCTCCTAGTGCTCTGGTTTTCCTCCCATGTCCCAAAGATGTGCATGTTAGGTTAATTGTTTTTGTCTAAATCGTGAGTGTGCCCTGAGGTGGAAGGGCATCCTGTCCAGGTTTGGTTCTTCCTTGCTCCATGAGCTGCAGATAGGCTTTGGCCACCTGGGACCCTAAACTGGAACAAGCAGGTTGGAAAATAATCATCTTATTTTTATTAATCTTTCTTAAATGTATGTATAGTTCACATTTACTTCAATGTCTAAAGTAAGTGTTTTGTGTCTTAATTTAGAAATTTGATGATGTTTTTGTAACCAGAAATATGCTGTTGGAACTTAACTCTTGCTTATGTCAGCCAGTAGTTAAATTGGTTTCTTTATATGTCATCTTGCTTAAAATTGCAGTAAGGACTTAACTATATTCTTAAGGCTGTCTTCTCTGTATTGCACCCTATGATTGGTAGGTCATCACTAAATATAACCTTTTTAAAATTTGACTTTGTTTCTATAGAACTTCAAAGAACATCAGAATAGACATTTACTAGTTTTTGTGTTGTCCTATCTTTAAATATGTTATTTAATTATACTTACATTTTTATTCTCTGAAATTGTTTTTGTCTATAACATACTTAGGGTTTAAATTTCTGTACTTATAAGAATGAATCATAAAAGATTTTCAAAACTTTTTAATTTTAAAGAAATTAATCTTTTTGTAAAAACCGCCTCTAGGATTTCAAAAGGGAAGACTCCAGAATTTATCATTATTAACTACATGTTTAAACTTTGGAGTAAAGTATGAACTCCCCCTATGAAAAATGGGGAAGTAAACATACTTATATTTTAACCTACCTCTACCCCATTATTTATATTCTCATTTGTCTTCTGTAAAGGTTTATAACATTTATACTTATGGCTCTATGTTTACTCTATATTTATTTATCTTCAGACCTTTAATCAGAGTTTCTCCATTCCTGAATTTTTTATTTTGATTTATTCTTGGAATGGCTGAGCTTTGTCATCTAGCCGTTTTTTATTATATTTTATTTTTAATACTAGAGGCCTGTTGCACGAAAAGATTCGTGCAACAGGCCCTCCCTTCTCCTGGCTGCCGGCACCGGTTTTCCTCCGGCACCTGGCACCCAGGCCTTCGCTCAGGCCAGAGCTGCCTTCAGCGCCTTCGCTGCTCCATATCTCGCTGATTAGCCAATGGGAGGCGTTGGGAAGATACAGTCAAAATTACCCTGTTTGTCTGTTATTAGATTAGATATTTTTATTGATTTCAGAGAGGAAAGGAGAAGGAAAGAGAGAAACATCAATGATGAGAGAGAATCATTGGTAGTCCTGTGGTCGGCAAACTGCGGCTCACGAGCCACATGAGGCTCTTTGGCCCCTTGAGTGTGGCTCTTCCTAAGCCTTAGGAGTATCCTAATTAAGTTAATAACAATGTACCTACCTATATAGTTTAAGTTTTAAAAAATTTGGCTCTCAAAAGAAATTTCAATCGTTGTACTATTGATATTTGGCTCTGTTGACTAATGAGTTTGCTGACCACTGCTCTCTCCACTTAGCCAAATCAGCTAGAACTAGCCGTTTTTTATTTTTTAACAGTTTCAGGTATTGTAGCCTTAAATTCTTGCCACTTGAAAGTGGCCTATCCATTAACTTTTAACTTGGCTGAGTGTTTAGTTTTTATTATACCTGTACTTTCTTTCCCTCTGAATTCTGTAGTGGTTTTTATATTTCTAACATTAAGTGTGGCAGAGAAGTTGAAGGTTTTTGGAGGGGGTGTTTTCCCTTTCTGGTGGAGATTTGCTTTTCTGCTTCAGAATCCAGATATGGGTTTTGTTGTTGTTAATGTTGTGTTTTACTTATACTGTTTCTCTGTTCATATGTTCTTTTCTTTAGAAATGTACCTATCTTCTATTATCTATATTCCTGTGTTCTTTTACCTTAAGTTTTGTGTGATTTCTTCAAATCTGTGTTCTTTATTATCTCCATAATTTTGTCTCTTTTTCTGTTTTGTTTTCAGTTGGTTTTTATCTCTAATTTTTTAATGAATTTTTATTTTATCGAATCTTTCTAACATACATAAAACCAGAAAGAATGGTATAATTAATCTCCATATACCCACCTCCACCTTCAACAACTATCAATTCATGGCCATCTCTGTTTAATCTATACCTCTTTGCTCACTTCTTACTCTCTTCTTTATTCTCTGGTTTATTTTGAAGCAAATGCTGACATCATTATCCCATCTGTAAATATTTCCGCATGTATCTTTAAAACTAGGGATTCTGTCTTTTTTCTGTCTTTCACATAACCACAGTGCCAATCTCACTGCTAAAAATAATGTTCACAGTTCCCCAGTTATCTTTGTTTAATATTAAATCCATTGCAGAGTGTTATTTTTGTTCAATAACATTAAAATGCCATAATGATGCCAAATTTATATAAATTTTTTGAGGCAGCGTGGTCAGCATGGCTCAGTGGTTGAGTGTCAACCTCTGAACCAGGAGGTCACAGTTCAGTTCCCAGTCAGGGCACACGCCTGGATTGCAGGCTTGATCCCCAGTAGGGGGCATGCAGAGACCGCTGATCATTGATTTTCTTTCATTATTGATGTTTCTCCCTCTCCCTTCCT